GCAATTCAGAGTGCTTTACATGAACTAGAAGGAAATACAACAAAACAACAAACCAAAGGAAAGAGCAAAAGAAGAAAAAAAAAAAAGTCGAACCCCATGTTTAAGAACAAGTAATCTTTGTTGATCTATTACCTTAGATCAACATTCCTTAGATAATGTTGATCTAAGGCAGTGTTTCTCAACCCTGGTCCTCACCGCCCCCTGTCCTGCATGTTTTAGGTGTTTCCCTTCTGCCACACACCTGAATTGTATCTCTGGGTGATTAACAGGCTTCTGCAGTACTTGAAGTCATGCAATCATTTGAATCAGCTGCTCTGGAATAGAGGCACATCTAAAACATGCAGAGCAGGGGGGCGGTGAGGACCAGGGCTGAGAAACACTTATCTAAGGTAATAAGTAGTTGCTCTAGATAAACTAATCAAAATTTCTCTGAATTATAAATTTGCTCTAATTCTAAAACAGAACAGTCCCACACAAGATCTCGTAAGATTTTCACCAAAACTAGGCATTTAAAAAAAAAAAAACATAAATTGCTTCTCTTTTGCAACTTCCCTCTTTATTTTAGGCACACAGAAAACATATCAGATTTTTCTCTTTTAGACAACACAACCTAAACTTGCTGTATCTTCTGCAGCATCTTTAGAAGGATTTCACATACCTTGCACAGAATCAAAAACCGCTCAGGGTTTTTGACTCTGTCATCCAATATTTTCTCAGAATGCTGAAGACTATCTAAATATTGAGGTTTTTCTGATGTCCTTCTCCTGACTGATACATTTGTACAGTGAGATTTTGTTTTTCCAATTTAACAACTTTTATATCAGAAAGTTCTGTGAGATAAAATATTTTTCAAGGGAGATCCAGTGAAGAGGCACAGCGTTGAACAGTATGCAGAACAATAATTTAAACGGTACGCACATTTAAAATACTATAAAATCAAACTAAATAAAAATGTATAAGAATAGAGCACAATTGCAAGAGTTAAAAAATAATATCTTTATTATTTCAGTACTTTCTAACCTCTGCAAACTGTGGTTTTAGCTACAGCACGTCAAAGAGCATTTGTCAGCGTGGCTCAGCCAGGACAGCAGAACCTTACTTCAGATTCATCAGATTCACTATAATTGATGACAGCAGTTAAAACATAGCAGGTAAATGCTGAAATGAATTAAAAATGTGTTTTAGCAAAGTAAAATTTCGAGGGCGCTAAAATTTGTGACGAGGTTATTGCAGTTTCCTACTACAGAACCATTTTGACAGTAGTTCGTACACTCACACTGTATGTTTGCAAAGAATATAACACACACGTGTCAAAATCAAGGCGCGGGGGCCAAATTTGGCCTGCCATAGCATTTTATGTGGCCTTCTAGACTCCAAATTACATCAATAACTCTCTCCAGTTTTTCACAAATCCACAAAGTTTGTGCAAAAATTCACACAAAATTCAACAGATTCCCACTTTTTTCTCATTTTGCTGACATTTTTTTCTCAAAATTGGCCAACAACACTGGGTTTAAGTGACTGCTGCCTCAGCCTCACTCACACCTCATAGTCATAGACTGTGACTTGATGTCAAGTCACAGTCTATGACCGACGCAGCGATTTATGAAAAGTCACATTTAACATCATACATTAGCGCAAATATCGTAGAAATTCCTTCCAAAAAATTCTAAATTAGGACTGAAAAATCTGTGATTTTGACTGCAAAAAAGAAAAAGAAAAACAAACGCAAAATCTTGGATGGATTGACCAGTGTGAAAAGATGTTCAATATAACACTTATTAAATTCTGAAACCGCTATTTATTGATATTTTAGCAATTTAATGGGTTTTATCAATACATTCTGGCACAGCTGCCCCTTTTAAGAACATTCAGATTTTTGATACGACTCAAAATGAAAATTAGTTTGACACTCCTGATATAATGGGTGGACAATACATATTTTAATATTTTAAGCAAAAAAAAAAAAAAGATGTAAAGCAGCTCAGGAGCCAGTACAATATTCTGGTTGCTACTGACTCATGGAAAATCTATTCTTACGGACGGGAGGGGAAAGTTCACCTGAACTGTGTCAGTGTATTTATATCAGTTGTGTTTGGATGTAAAGTGCGCTTGTGGCAAGTTGAGTGTGTAATGGTGTTTTTTTTAAAAACCAAAAATCCAAGCAAAAGGTAGAAATAAAGCAAATTCTACCCAATTTCAGACAGTAGACCGTCCAAAATGAAACGGCCGGCTGCTGCTTCGCATTTCATTCGGCCTGGACGTGGTGTTTATGCACAACCGCAAGAGGTTTGAAACCCTAAATTACAGGCGCATAAATTAAAAGCTTCCCTCGTCCGAGCATACCACCAATGCAAAATAATTACTGTCAGCACCTTTACAGTCAAAGATGCAGCGGGAGAACATGACATTCTTTGGTTTGGTATATCATGTTCAACTTTTCTTTTCTTTTCTTTTTTTTATTTTGTTCTGCTGCTGGTGAAGTAAAATAAAGACAAAAAAAAGCTGTGTTAAAAGTACATGCAAAAGTGCACTTTTCCCTAGAGCCAATCAAATTCTGATTATGTGTCTCTTGAATCAATTTCCACTGATTTCCTTTGGCTTCCATGAATACTGGATTTGAAAGCTGCGTAAATGATAAATCTGCCCATATTTATGCTGTTTTTGTAACATTTTTATTTTATCACTTCAGAACATATTGCTAAATTTAACATGCTAGCTTTCTAAAAAAAAAAAAATCACATTTTAGAAAACTAGAATTGCGGTGAAACGTGTAAGGAAGTGGAGGCAACAACGAGACTCAAATCTCCTGGACAGCTTTTAAATATAGCAGCTCTGTGAACACTCGCTTGTTTTTGTCGACAGGCTGACAGTCTTTTTTACATGGATGAATGTAAAATGATGTCTATTGTGGTGTCTTTTTTTTATTGTTTTCACGCACAAGTTCTATGACAAAATAAGTTGGGCAAAATGAAAGTAAATTGATGTTTTCAGAAAAAGAAAATTTTTCCTGATAACACGTGACTCTCATACTGTACTGGCGACGACTCTTCTTAAGAATCCTCCCATTTTCTCCATTAATGTGATAATGATGATCACATTAGTTCACAGCTATTCATGGATTAATGACATAATACTGTATAGTGACAGAGATGACCACCCACGTGAAGTCATGAAGTGACCAGTGCACTGAATCGACTACATTACAAATTCCTGACAGCGATCCAGAAACAAGATGATATTGCAGCATTAAAATGTGTCATTGTGTTGATTGTAGTCCCAGATTACTTATCTAATAGTTAGAAAAGATGTTCAGCTTAGCAAAATGCCTTGCTTATTATTTTTTTATTTGACTATTGCTTAGTTTGTAAAAAAAAAAAAAGAAAAGAAAAGAAAAATACTGGTAATTGATTTAGCAATAAAACACAGATTAAATAATGAGCAGAGTTAATGCAAAAATAAAATATCTACCTTTTTGTGTACCTGAAGATTACAACACTTATTTGAAAAAAAAAAAAAAAAAGACTGAAGTAAAAAAAAGAAAGTTTATTTTAAAAGAAAAAGGAAGGTAAAGTGTTTCTTTCTTGACTCTAAACTTTGAGGTCATTAAGTTCAAGGTATGCACATTTCTCAAGAAGGTAAAGGCATTAGTTTGGATCTGCCAAGGCCATGTGTAAGGCATCAGAAGACCCGATACTGGGTAGATCAAAAGCTCATTATTTTTTTGAGTGTTTAGGATCAAGGTACTCGCATGCAAAGCGTATCTCAAAGATAATTCACGATGATTAACGCTGACGTACGTTTAAATACAAATCGCATTTGGTATTAATTTCTAAACCTTTTGGTGTTTTTACCTGAAAAAAAAATAAAAATTCTAAATGTGTACCTTTTTTTTTTTTAACTTGCTTTTTTTATTTGGACCCCACTGACAAGTACAAGGAGAAGAACCTTTATGTGCAGTGACAACCCAGCACACGTGGGTTGATAACCTTGTGTTAAATACCACACTTTTGCTCTATTTGCTCAGAAATTCAAAACAAAAGTGAACGCCATAATCTCACAGAAAGGCAGTTGTTCTCAGCATGGTAACAAGCTGACCGTTAAAGTGCACACAATGATAACTACACTACATATTTTATATATATATATATATATATATATATATATATATATATATATATACACACACACACACACACTGCTCAAAAAAATAAAGGGAACACTCAAATAACACATCCTAGATCTGAATGAATGAAATATTCTCATTGAATACTTTGTTCTGTATAAAGTTGAATGTGCTGACAACATATATATATATATATATATATATATATATATATATGGAATTTAGCACATATTTTATTATACCCTGGCTAAATTTGCAGCTTTCAAGGACACTTGAAATGTTTCAAAATGTTGTTTTGTTTGTTTGTTTGTTTTTTGTGCGTGTCTTTGCTGTGGAAAAACGTGCAGCTAAAGTGGATTCACTTATTTATTGTGAATCATCTACACCACAAAATTTATTAATAAGTAACACCTATATTACAAAATTTAAATCATTTTCCTCCTCTGTTTTTTAAACCAATGTGTCATAAATGTGAGTGTGTGTGTTTTTTTAATACTACTCCCACAATTAGCTTAAAATTGTTTACTCACCTCTTGACACTGCCTGTGTGCTTATGCACACAGGCAGTGTCATAAGGGTTGATAGAGTCTTATCATCATGGATAAACTGATAACATTCAGATAACTGTGAAGAAATGCATTCTCCTTATTTTTTTCCCCCTCCTTCTTCTGATTAGACCGAATCAGCACTTTCTCTGCAGGTGATCAATTTGGAAATGGTCTTATTAAACAGTGTGCAAAAGAGTACACTAATTATGCGGAAAACTCACTCTGCTGTTGACTAGGAAGGCCCTTAAAAAAAAATCTCTCTCACTCTCAAACTCTCACTCCTCATTGTGATTCGGCTCCCTCTTTCTCTCCTTTATTCGCTGAGGGACTCTCCTCCCTCTCCTCCCCCCTCCTTTCCCTCTCTCCCTCCGTGTGTCAAATTCTCGACCCATGGTGCTCAGGCTCCCTGTTTCTCAGTTTTCCTCCAGGATGGGTTTCTTCAGGTTCCTCAGGTCTGTTAAGAACGACTGTATCCTCTTTTTAACTCCGTGCGCTCTCCTTCCTCTGCCTTTGGTGATCGGGACATCGGTATGTACTGATTTGATGTGTCAATAGATGGTGCACTGACTAATAAAACTGTTTCAAAGAAAAAAGAAAATGTCAGGACAGAACGTTGTTTTGCTTTTCTGTTTTTTTTAGCAATTGAATGAATAAAATACAGCAGAGATGGGATGGAAAAGTTCCCTCTTCGTTTATTGTTTTTCGGGGGGCGCGGAGGGGTTGCACCTGTTGTTACGCACGAGCGCTGTGCGCGAGGCTCCCGGAGGCTCCGCGGTGCACCCCACGGTCCTGTTGTTTTAACTTCGTATTTTTGTCAGTATCAACTGTCAAGTGCAGCCGTGGGAACACGCAAAGTCAAAGGGGTTCTGTCCACATCGCCACCTCTACTTGTGACAGGGACACATACGGTCTGCAAACATGTTATGACAGCAGGGATGGACTTTAATAATGCGCAGCGACCACAGGCAGGAACACAAATTAGTTTTGGACCAGCAAACACTCGCCTATTTCTTCTGAGAGCAACAGAGCAAAATATTTTAAGTGTTTTAATTGTTTAAAATTGTCTGATTAACAGGTAAAATAATATTATTATGTGCCGCTTGAAAAAAAAAACATAAATTATTAAAGGGTCACTTAAATGTGTATGTTTAAAGTTGGGAACAAAACTGCGAAGTTGTGAGAAGGCAAATGTCCATTTATGGACATTGACTTTTGGACTTTCTCCCAAAAGTCAATGTCTTGAGTCTAACACGTTTAGTCCTCTGTATGCATTTGGTGTTTGACATTTTTAGGGTTTTAATTATATGAACGTTTGTAATGTTTGCAGATGACAAATATTTTTTGTAAGGTAAGGTAATTTTATTTATATAGCACGTTTTCAGCAACAAGGCAGTTCAAAGTGCTTTGTGGTCATTTAAATTTAAAAAAAAGTTACCCGATATTAAAGAAAGAGATAGTTTGACACTGACAAGTTATCACTGAAACTATACAGAGCTCCTTCACTGACAGTCTGCTGCATCCTAAGTGCACAAAGGAGCATGATAGGAGATCCTTCCTCCCAGTAGCTGTTAGACTCTGTAACCATCACAGCTCCCAACAAAACCAGTAAGTGCTTGCATCCCTCCTGGTATTTGAACAGTTTTACAGCCCATTATACTTCACTTTGTTTCTATATATTTAAATTATTTTTTATTTTTGTGTTACCATGCATTCCTCAATGCTGCTGTTACACCTGGCTTTCCCTATGGGACAATAAAGGATATTTATTGTACAGATGTAAGGGGAAACAGTTTTGCAAAACAAAAAAGTAATATCAAGTAATATCAAAATACTCATGATGATCATAAGAACAAACTATGTTTAACATCAATATTATTAAAATTAACTGATCTGCTTAAAGTTTGATCAGCATAAAATTGTGTGGCTTTATGCTTTTTATATATATATATATATGTGTGTGTGTGTGTGTGTATGTATATTCATATACATGTTCAAATTGTTAAGTATAAGCATGGAGCCACAATCAGAGTTTAAATAATTTAGTGGGCATTGCAGAACATGAACTTTGAGAAAAAAAAAAAAAGAATAAATATTGATATAATTCAATATGGTGTAGCATATGTACATAATTTAATGTTTTTATCTATTTATTACATTGTGGCACTTTGAGCACTACATAACTTTCTGCGAGGTCTGCAGTGGGAAAATGTTTGTGTAATATAAATGCATGGATATGTCATAACTTTAGTTAGTACTAAAGTTACGACTTTAGTTATTACTTTTGGATCTAAAGAACAATCGAGTGTCAGCATATATAAATATTTTTCTCTTGTAAAGCACTTTGACCAGTCTTGTTGCAGAAATGTTCTACACAAATAAACTTGACTTGTGTGTGACCAGAAAGAATAGATCACTCTAATCTTCACCCTTTGAACCATCATAACATCCAATTTAAATGTTTGTTGCTTTTTATTGGTGATTTTGTCTGAGAAGTTTTAAACCAAATTAGCCATTGTACTGTAAAAATATACCTGTTTTTTTTTTTTTTAGTTTTACATGACTTTATGGGTTTTCTATACAGGAGGCAGAATGTGCGTATGTGATCATCTTGATGGCGGTGTACTGGTGCACTGAGGTACTTCCACTGGCTGTGACATCACTTCTCCCAGCTGTTCTTTTCCCTTTGTTTGGCATAATGCAGTCTAAAGATGTAAGTCAAACAACAGGCAGAAATCTGGTTTTGAAAAAAAGAATTAATTTGCCAGAAATTGAATCAACTCCCATATGATCTACCATTCCCAGGTGGGCATGCAGTACTTGAAGGACACCAACTTGCTGTTTGTGGGAGGCCTGCTGGTCGCCGTGGCGGTGGAGCACTGGAATTTGCATAAACGCATCGCTTTAAGGGTGCTGCTTCTCGTCGGTGTGCGTCCAGCGCTGTGAGTAGCTCGCCGACAGACTCGCATCCACCGTCTTAATCTTTCAGACCTACATGTCCTAAGCTTATCTAATCGGCTATCAGAAGAGCAAGTATACTGAAGATTAGGGCGCTATGTTCAAGGTCTTTACTGCATCGTAAAACTTTGTCACTGTGGTGATAAAACACATCCTAAGTTTACGACTTCAGTTCCAAACAACTTTAATTTTTCAATTTTGTAGGAATACGAGGCTAAATTCACCACTCAGTGGCTAGACAAGATGCTGGGGCATCATAGGACACGTTTACTGGTTTGTTTTGTTTTTTTTTGTCTTGTTTCTGCAAGGTTGATGCTGGGTTTTATGGGTGTCACTGCGTTCTTGTCGATGTGGATCAGCAACACGGCTACCACAGCTATGATGGTGCCAATTGTCCATGCGGTGCTGGATCAGCTTAACAACAGTGACAGAGAAGTGCCACAGATCCTCAGTTCAGACGAGCATGTCCAGACATCAGACACCGACTGCAAGCCACCTGCGCAGACAGAAAAAGAGGCTGAGGGAAACGGTGAGTGATTGTTAAATAGGGTGGCATTATGTGAAATCAACTTTTTTTGAGTTTACATCATCACACAAAGTTATTCCCTCATCAAAAACATACCCAGAGTGTTGCCTTGATTCTTCCTCTTCAGAGCTGCAGTTTCCAAGCTTCTGTAACTCCCCCCACTCAGCTCCTACAAACTAGCCAGCAGCAATTAGCAAACACCTGGTGGAAATGCGCATCTCCTGAGCTCCTTATACAATTTGCGTTAGGTCAGTCATCCCCAACCCCTGGGCTGCGGATCAGTACCAGTCCATGGACCAATTGGTACTGGGCACACAAAAAATAATTAAATATTCCTGTTATGTATTATCCAAGTCTAGAGGATCTTTTATTTTGAAAATTCTTTAACCGGATTCTCTTGGTTACGTCTTGCCATCGTCTTTGGAAAATTTATTTGCAAAGGGAAAAAGGCCCAGAGAAGAGACAGGAGAATGGCTTTATCCCGGTAGGTGACTCCCACATTCCAAGCCCACACTGCATGATATGCGACGACCGGTTCGCTAACGACGCAGCGAAGACTTCAAACTGCTTTGCCATGTAGAGACCAAGCACTTTGTGCTTAAGCAACACTTTGGGTGTCATTGTTTCCCATCACTCCCTGATGGAAGCGTCTTGTTGCAGAGAAACAAGCTCAGGGCTCCCATTAATTTGTTGTTATTGTGAGTTAAAATGTTCATTAAAGTAAAATGTTGGTTTTTGTTGCACATCTGTATCTTACTTTGAAGGTGTAAACGTTACCATAGCAACCAGAGTCAGAGAGTGTTAGGGCAGTGGTAGAGACGAGAGGAGTGGAGTAGAGCTTGTGAGTCTTAAGGCTTAAGTCTGGTTCACACGGCACGATTTTAGAATTGTCGGCCGATTTTCCAAACCTCTGTGACCACACACGAGCCTTGTGAACACACAAACTACTGTTCGTGCTATTGACACACAAACTAATGTTCGTGTGTCCGCGAGGCTTTTATTGCCTTGTGTATAGTGTTGTTCCAGCCACACGGCAGGAACAACACACCACACACGAACCAACTCCAGTCACGAACATCCCGATTCCAGAAGGAAATCCCGTAAAACCCCCAACATACCATACGTGAATTTAGAATAAACAAACACGGATGACGATGTAGAAACAATAGTGACAGTCTGTGGACTGATTTTAAGTGAGCTAGTGTCAGCGTCAAGTTCTGACTGAATGAATAGCCTTATCTTTATAACCTATTTGTGTCACGTTAATGATGAAAAGTTACCGGGTTTATCAACTGCGGTACCAGTTTCGCTCCAGTTCCTCTCATTATTGTTTCGGTTGATATTCCTTGTACAAAATGCTGAATAAACATTCATGCTGTTTCCACATATCATCTCTGATGTCACGAACTCTCGGTTGCGCCATGTCAGCTGTTTTGGATTCCCTTCTGTGATTATGTCACCGAGCTTTCTGATTGGCTACCTGTCACATTCAATAGGTTGCGTTCTCGCTCCCGGTCCAACATGTTGAATATGCCGGATTATAGATCGGAGCGGTCCGACATTCTACCCAACAACACACCACACACTGCAGGTTGATCGGCTACAATTATTGCCAGCGACAATCTTAGAACTTGGGAAGTTCCAAGATTGTCGTAAGGGGAAAATCGGGGCAAAAAATTGTGACGTGAACTATGTTTTAGTGGACACAACAACATGCAGAAGCCTTGTCTGACGGTTCATCCCCCCCTGGGCCGCAAAGTCTTGACCGGCCCGTGGTGATAAAAAGGTTGGGGACTACTTTTTTAGGTTACTAGAGGAGCAATGTTGTAATGACGTCCTGAAGGCAGAATTTCAGAAAGAGCAGGAGCTTTTAATGACAGAGGCCCTATTTAAAGGCATCAAGTTACAAAGAAGTATATAAATTTATATATATATATATATATATATATATATATATATACACAACATTTTTCAAACAACCCAAGGCAGCATGGTAACAAACTGTGCTACAAAATAGCACTATTTTGCCTGAAAGTACATAATATGACACCTTTGAATGTTTCAAGACAAGAAAAAAAAATGCATTCCATAATTACTGATGCATTTCTTTGCTATACTGTTTCTTATGAAGACACCTACATCTAATGTAGTCTAACATTGCTTAGCATCAAATTCTTTTTTTTTTACATTTTAAATCAGAGTTGGGCAGAACTGAAAACTCTTTTCATTCCTTCCTCTTTGTTTAAAGGCCCAGTGGTTGTGACTTTCTTAGATGCCTCAGTCGAAGTTGCCAGGCACAAGGAGGCAATGGAGAGGCGAAGAATGGGTAAAGGGATGACCTTGTGTGTTTGCTACGCTGCCAGCATCGGAGGCACCGCCACTCTGACAGGAACTGGTCCCAATCTGGTGCTTAAGGGACAAATGAACCAGTGAGTGCGTAATTATGTTTTACAACCCCAATTTTTTTTTTTTTTTTTTTTTTTACAGCACAGCTGACTCTATTTCCATGTGTCTTAAAGGTTGTTTCCTGAAAATGAAGAAGTGATTAACTTTGCCTCCTGGTTCGGATTTGCGTTCCCAAACATGATCCTTATGCTGACACTAGCCTGGCTCTGGCTGCAGTTTGTCTTCATGGGGTTCAAGTGAGTCTGACAGAAAATGCAACGTCTTTCCTGCGTTAGCATCATGTTTGACAGTAGAGACGACATGAAAATTCTGACTCCCGTGCGATTCCTCTAGTTTCAGAAAAACATGGGGCTGTGGGGCAACCAAAACAGAAAAGGAGATTGCTGCGTATAACGTGATCCGTGAGCAGCACCGTCAGCTGGGGACTATGAGTTTTGGAGAGATAAGTGTGTTGAGTCTCTTTGTTTTGCTGGTAGTCCTTTGGTTCTCCAGAGATCCGGGTTTTGTTCATGGCTGGGCTACAGAACTAAACTCCACAGCAGAGTGTGTACTTATGATTTTCATTTCTGATTTTACACATTTGCACAAATTTGTACATGAATGCAGCTGATGGCAGAATCTCCCTGGTCTTCTAACCTCACAGATATGTGACAGATGCCACAGTAGCGATCTTTGTGGCCATTCTGCTCTTTGTCCTACCCTCTGAACCACCGCGATTCTGTTCACGCAGGACCCGAAGTTTTGATACAAGTAAGGCATCATTCTAGAAAAAAAAGCTCTAGTTAAAAGGAGGCAATTTCTGTAATGTTTTGTCTCTTGTGGGTGTTTTCATTCAATCTCTAGCTACGCAACAGTCCTCTACCTCAACACCCCGACTTCTAACTTGGAAAGTTGCCCAAAAAAAGGTGCCATGGGGCATTGTACTTCTCCTTGGGGGTGGGTTTGCTCTCGCCAAGGGGAGTGAAGTAAGTAGCAAGAACAGTTACATTTCTATGTTATATTGTCACACACTGTTGTGTCAAGCTAGATTATGCTATTGACCCTTTACAACGACATCACCAAACCCCTTGACAGACATCAGAAGTGAAGATCCAGAGTATTGAAAAGAGTGACTGCAATCGTTTTCCCAAGTTATTTTTGCTAATATAGCCATGGCTTCTACTTGTTCAAGTCAAGCTAATTTATCTGTGGACTTAGCACACTTGGGGCTCATAGGCAGTGGTTTTACGGAGCGGACTTATGAGCATACAGAAATCTAGTTGCTTACCAGTATTTTTTGATGGGGGGCATTCTCTCCATGGTTACTGATGATTAGATGAGTACCTTTTCCTTAACACAGTATCTGATTGCATCTTACCGATCTTACTTGATTATGAAGTACATGAACGATAACCTTTTTATCTTGTAAAAATTGTTAGCTTCAAATCAACAAATACAGGACTGCCAATCCTTCCAACTGAATTCTGCTATCCATCGCCATCTTCTTCCCTTAACAAAAGTTATAAGATAAAAAATGACAAGTTTGGTTTGTGTCCTTGTCTGTTTGTTTGCAGTTGATGGCACATCATCTAATGACCATTTGTGCAATAATCAAAACAAAAGTGATTAGACACCAACTGTCTGTTTTTTGACAAGCTTTACAAAAATCAAGTGCAAAGGTTCCATCATGGCAGAATGGGCTGAAGAGTGTGATAATATTGACCCTTATTATGACACAGAGAGCGTTAGAGACAAGAGGAGAGGAGTAGAGCTTGTAGAGCTTGTGAGTCTTAAGTCTGGTTCACACGGCACGATTTTAGAATTGTCGGCCGATTTTCCAAACCTCTGTGACCACACATGAGGCAATAAAAGCCTCATGTGTTCGTGGACACATGAACATCGGTTCGTGTGTCCACATGGCAGGAACAACACACCACACACGAACCAACTCCAGTCACGAACATTCTGATTCCAGAAGAAAATCCCGTAAAACCCTCAACATGCCATACGTGAATTTAGAATAAACAAACACGGATGACAATGTAGAAATAATAGTGACAGTCTGTGGACTGATTTTAAGTGAGCTAGTGTCAGCGTCAAGTCCTGACTGAATGAATAGCCTTATCTTTATAACCTATTTGTGTCGCGTTAATGATGAAAAGTTACCGGGTTTATCAACTATGGTACCAGTTTCGCTCCAGTTCCTCTCATTTTTGTTTCTGTTGATATTTCTTGTACGAAATGCTGAATAAACATTCATGCTGTTTCCACATATCATCTCCGATGTCACTGACTCTCTTTGCACCATGTCAGCTGTTTGGGATTCCCCTCCATGATTAAGCCACCGCACTTTCTGATTGGCTACCTGTCACATTCATCAGGTTGCCTTCTCGCTCCCAGTAAGGGAAAACTCCACACGCTGTGATAAAAGGGCCAAGACAATGCCTGATGTTAGATTGGCGAGGTCGCCAATCTAGAACACAATCTAGAACACTGTGTGGTGTGTTCTACGTGACACACCACACAGTGCAGGATGATCGGTTACGATTGACTTGGAAAGTTCCAAGATTGTCATAAGAGGAAAATCGGGGCAAAAAATTTAAAATTGTGCCATGTGAACTAAGCTTTAGCGGACACACCAACATGCAGAAGCCTTGTTTGACGGCTGGTGTAGTGTATACTTGACAGGGGCATTAGAATCGTTTTACTGTGAACACTGTCTACAATATTGTGAGCATCTAAACAACTTGAGCAACCTGGTTTAGTCACACCAAATCAGCACAACCTTCAAATTACTGAATTTATTTATTTTTTTGTCTAAAAATAAATTATTTTGTATGTGACATATAGTGTTTTTATGGTTCGTTCAACTTTTTTTTTTTTAAATGCAGATGAAACTCAATCCCATCTCACAAACAACGGTTAATTTGGTCACCCTGTGTTGAGATGCATTGCATTGTGTCATGTTGTGTTGCACCTTAGCTTGCCTTATGTCATATTTTTCTGCTTTCAGGTATCAGGGCTCTCAAAGTGGATGGGGGACCAAATGGCTCCTCTGCAGAACATCCCTCCCTGGGGAATAGCTATCATTTTATGCCTATTGATTGCTACTTTCACGGAGTGCACCAGCAATGTGGCGACTGCGACACTGTTCTTACCTGTCTTAGCCTCAATGGTAAGAGCTATCACAGAGACAGTTACATGAGATATTGGAAATCAACGTAAAAACTGGCTGGAGACACAAAATCATGCCTGACCGCAGTGGTTCAATTAAGTTAAGGTCCGAACTGGAGTTCCAGCACTCACATCACTCCCAGTGAGAACTGGCCTACTTTCCCATGTTTGGCAAGCTCTCCAGTTGGTTATTCGGGGTGAATATGTTCTGCTCTCCTCAGTGGGGCCCTCCTCCCATTAATAACCTGCCAAGTACACCAGAGCAGCCCACTGCCCTGTCTGGCTGTCACAAAGCAACTATAGAATGACATTATTGTGCCTACTGACTGACCACTACACAGAATTACAAAGATCACGCCACAAAAGATAGTTTCTAATTGGAACAATTAAACTAATATCTATAAAAAGCAAAGCTAAGAATATGTACCAAAAAAGTGACTTGTAAAAGTATTTATACTTTAGTTTTTTCTTATCCCTTTTTACATTTTGTCATGGTTAGTATATTTTTATGTGGTAAACCAAAGTTTGTGGTTTCAATCTGAAAAACTGTGAAACAGTTATAGGAGAATGTATATTGTGTCGCCGAATGTGAAAACTAGTTTTATGTAAAAATAGAGGGAATGAACAATTCAATCCAATAAGCAAAGCTAAAGCTTTGGAAATGAAAAACCTGGAGTAATAATGGTTTTACGGTTCATTGCATTGTGTGCCATGATGTCAAGGAAATCTAGATGATTAAAACAAAATCTATTTACATAGACAAAACACTATCATTGCGGTGACCTGATATACAGTTCAAATGTGAAGTTTAGATTTTTTCACTGTTTATTTTGAGAAACAGAAATTACTGTGCACTTGTTCTGAGCCTCTGTGCCTCGTGACATGTAATTCAGAAGCAAATTCCACTCAGCAACGTTCCCTTAGTTCCCAGCAGTCTGCCATTATTGCGAACACATGTAGCGCCGTTCTATTTTGGAAGTCTTGACTCAGCACAAGGCCAGCAGGAATTACATCTTAATTATACCCACTTAATGAGAGTTTTCACTCTGGGCAGAACTGCAACATTTCATTCAGAGTTATGAGTCAATGGTTGTGGTTGGAGGGAAAAATAGCCAGATAGAGTACCCGAAGATTATGCGATCACGTCTGTTTTCATCCCAGCCTTAGAGTCTTAAAAACCTCCTTTGTGATTACTGCAGTCTCAGTCCATTGGAATCAATCCGCTGTACGTCATGGTACCCTGTACTCTGAGCGCCTCGTTCGCCTTCATGCTGCCCGTCGCCACCCCTCCCAACGCCATAGTCTTCTCTTATGGACACCTCAAGGTTGCTGACATGGTGAGTAGGACGGTTGATTGTGGGGGTTATTTTGTAAATGATATGCTGAATCTGATGGTGCTATGACTTTTGCTGAGCTGTTATACAATTAGGACACAAGAACCTGTATTTAATGTCTTCTATAGTTGCAAACCAAGCAGTTTTATAAAACGTGGTGAAAAGCATATATTTCCCACAATGTTCCAAACTGATAAAAGATTATAAGTCTGATAAAAATTTTAGTGACATCTTGTCACTAAAATGTAGCTTAAAAGGAAATAATTACCCTAACTTTTGTGCCCGTGTCTCCTTCCAAGCGTGTGGGAGAAACTGTGCTGAATACTGCAAATGAGAAGGACCTATAGGCTACCAGGGAAGCCTGATAAAAAAGCAGCCCCTTGTTTTACGCTTCACTTGTACAGAGTCTGGTCTCAGCTATTGAGAAATGATCGCTTCCTGGAGGCGTGGACAGTGTTGAGATTTTAAATTCTACCCATTTGCTAACTTTTGACGCTCCATTTCGACTCTTAAGAAGCTTACCGGAAATTGCCTGCGCCGTAAACAACCATCCTCCTCTGCCAAGAGAGAAGTGCCGAGTCGAACATGTTGGCTGTTAATGTTAATTCAACATTTGGAGGCGTGGCCAACACGGACAGAACGACTTCGTTCACTTCCACCTCTGCCATTGCTGAATCTACAGGTAGACTGGTACAATTCTAAAAACCATGCAAAAAAAAAAAAAAAAAAAAAAAAAACTAAAAAAACTGACAACAACGTCATTCACAG